TTTTTTCTGTCGCATAGTTTATTTCTTAACTATTTCGCACTTTATCAATTATCTCTGTCTGTCTGACGCAAAAATATTTTGCACTTTATAAATTATTTTCGCATGTCTGTCGGATAGCTTATCTCATAACTACATTGCACTTTATCATCATCTTCGCATGTTTGTCGCATAACTTATCACATGAATATTTCACACTTTATCAATCTGTCGCATAACTTATCGCATAATGTTTTGGCACTTTATCAATTATCTTCGTCTGTCTATCGCATAATATGTTTCGCAGATTGTGAGATGAAAAAATTAAATTACCTTTAGGCCGTGTGAAATTCTTATTCCGTTTTCAGAACGGGGTCAGAATAACTATTTTCAAATAGCCAAAATACAAAGAAAATTCTACAAGCCTATTTTTCTTTGATTAATCGGTTCCTTAATTACACATTAACCAGTATCTATGCTTAACAAATCTGATTTGAAATAAAAAATTAGTTAACGTAAGCACATGTGAACGTGTAACATGACGAAATTTGAATAGATTATTATTTTAAAACTTTTAATACTTTGCATTTTTATTTTTCACTAAATGTCTCATATTCCCCTATTAATCTTCTATTGGATGACTGTAGTCGATTTTTCCTTTTCTTTTCTTTTTTTTTTTCTTTTTTTCTTTTTTCTTTTTTTTTTTTAAATGTTTGCTTGCTTAAAGTTGAAATGTGATCGTATGTTTTGACGTATTAACGCATCCAATACATTTCAGATATCATGTGAGGTTTCATAAATACAAGATTCCGGAAAAAAAATATGAAAAATAAAAAGTAATACGTATTCTGATACCACATTTTTGAGTCCTACCAACATTTAAAGCCAGGGCAAATGGACAAAAAGATTATTAGTACAATAGCTACTGCAATTCCAAACACTATTAGTTTAATCTTCATATTCTGATACCACATTTTTCTCCTGATCTTTGTCCCTTGTGTTCTAAAATCTTGTGCCTGCAATCAGATATTAAGGTTATATACAAAATATTCAAATAAAAATAGGAGAGAAATGATGTAAAACTATGTTTCGAGCATCGCATGTTTTACAAGAATGAAAAACTGAAAATTATTGGAATTCATTTTGATTCTATTTTCTCAAGCTAACCTGTGAACGTAGATTCTCAGTTTTGTCGATAAGAAGTTCAATCTTCTCTCCACGGTCAAGAACCTACTCCATATTAAGAGTTCATTTAATTAATAACAACATAAAATTTAAAAAAAATATATATGCAATAGTAATAAGAAACATATATACTCATATAATATATATATATACCTTCTCAATATTCTCCATCATCACACCTTTCACCTCAGAAACTTGAGCCTTCACTTTAGCAAGTTGGTTTATCTCCTCTGGATGATCCACACAATACTGCATTTGCTCTTTCAATTTCGGCCTGAAGTACCAAAAAATGAGTAAAAATTCCCAAAAAGTAAAAACTAAACAATTGTAGAGTTTGTGTTTGGGTTGCATCGAAAGAAAA